AATGTAATTTCAAGAGTCTTAATAAAGTACTAGCGTGACTGCTTAAGTTAAAAAAAAAAAAAAAAAAAAAAAAAAAATATTATTATTATTAATATAATCTATTAAAAAATTTTTAAATTTTTTAAAAAAGTAATACAATTTGAAGCATTTGATAAATTTACTAAATAATCTATATTATCAAGATAAATTAAAGAAGGTATATTTATATTATTTTCTACTAAATTTTTTAAATTTAAATTATTTAATATTAGTTCTTTAAAATAATTTTTAATAATTATATTAAAATTACTATTATTAAATAATTTTTTATCTAGAAGATCTGTAGAATTACTTTTTTCTTCTTTCTATTCTAACAATTCTTCTAAAGTATAATTATTTGCATCATTTTGAGACTACAAATTATTATGACAATCTATATTAATCTATTAAAAAATAAATTAATAATTATAATTTAATATATATAATTAATAAATTGAAATATACTAAATCAGTTAATAAATTTTCAGATAATAAAAATTCAATTTCTATTTTACAAATTATAAATAAAATTAAATTCAAAACCCAAAATTTTTATTTAAAATAATAATATAAAATTTAAATTAATATATATATAGTATATTATCAAAAAAAAACTTACTAATTAGATAAAATTAAATTTATACTAGCCAAATGTAGTATATTTCTTAAAACAAAGTAACAGAATGACAAAATAGAAAATAGAAGTTGTAAAATAAAAGATAAAAGACCAAAGATAAAAGACTAAAGATGAAAGACTGAAGATGAAAAACCAAAAACAAAAGACCAAAGACCAAAGACAGAAGATGAAAGATAAAAGACAAATCAGAAGACCAGAAAATCAGAAGACCAGAAGATCAAAAAATTAGAAGATTAAAAAACCAGAAGATCTGAAAACAGAAAAACTTGGGACTAAAAGACAAAAAGATAAGACTCAAAAGACAGAAAACAAAAAACCAGAAGATGGAAAGACAAATAACCAAAAACTAAAGAAATAAAATCAGAAAAACAAAGAACCAAAAAGACAAAAAATTAGATAAACAAAAAAACAGTAAAACAAAAAGATATTAAAACAGAAAAACTAGTAACAGAAAAATAAAAAAAAAACAGAAAAACAGAAAATTAAAGAAATAAAAAGTTGAAGAGATAAAGTTGAAAAGATGAAAAGTTAAAAAAAAAAGAGCTAAGGCAATATAAAGATGGAAAGACTAAAACAAAAAGACTAATTAATAAATAAAAAAAGCATATATTTATTTTATTAACTCTAAATTTGTTAACATCTATTTTATTAATGATTATTTTATCAATGGTCATTTTATTGACAACTTACTTTTCTGACAGTTCATTTCCCTTACAGCCTACTTCTTAAACTTTACTTTCCTAATTCTAACAGTTTATTTTATTGATAATTCTGGCCCAATTTTGTATTAAGGTTGGCTTGCTTTATAGTTAGTAATGGCTAGAGAAATAGAAAATGCCTGTTAAGAAAAAGAACTGTCTGCAAATGTGATGTCAGAAAAGTGAGCTGTCAGTGAAATAGCTATCAATAAAATAGGTATCAGCAAATTAGATATTAGTAAAATCTACTAAAGTCTACATATTGATCAGAATTTTTCTGAAATAAATTTAATAAATAATTAATATTATATAGTTTTGGTAAATTTAACTGACATCTAATTTAATGATATCTATTTCATTAATAGCTATTTTACTGACAGCCTACTTCTCTAACAATACATTTTGCTAACAGTCCATTTTCTCAACAGCTACTTTACTAACTTCACTTCTTTAACAGCCTATTTTTCTAACAATTTATTTATTAACAATTCTATTTTACTGACTTACTATTTCTCTAGCCATTACTAACTATAAAACAGACCAACCCTAACTCAAAATTGAGCTAGAATTGTTAACAAAATAAACTGCCAGAGAAATAGATTGTTAGGAAAGTGATGTCTTGAAGGTAGGATGTCAGAAAAATGAACTGTTAGTAAAATGTGTTGTTATAGAAGTAGGCTATCAATGAAATAGTTATTAGTAAAATAGGTGTTGGCAAATTAGAAGTTAGCAAAATAAATATATATCATATTATATTTTCTGGCACATAACTAAAGTCACACAAAGTTGATTTTTTATTTTGCATTATCTGCTATTCTATTTTTTCAATTTTTTAATTTTTTTAATTTTTTTTTTAGATCCCAATTGTGCCAATTGTTCAATTTTTAATATCTATTTTTTATATTATTTCAACCAGTGTTACCTAATAGAGACCTTAATTTTCTATAATTGTCTAATAGGACTAACAAGAAAAATATAACTGCTAGCCCAATTTTTTGATTCCTTGTTGTTCAAAATGATCAATTAACCTTTTATAACCTTAAATATGATTATTATTCTATTTGCAGCAAATTAAATTAAAAAAAAAACAAAAAAAATCTGTATATCTTAAATTTTTAAATCCATATAATGCAAAATAAAAAATCAACTTTGCATGGCCTAATAATAAGAAGCATTATTTTTAATCTATAAAAAATACTTTTTTAAGACTTGCTTTAAAGAAATAGCACTAATAATAATTATACTCTTACTATAGTTGTTAGATAAGACAAACCTAAACTGATAAAAGATGAAACTGATGAAACTCTAACAAAATATGAAGCTTTGATAAAAAAAAAAACTCTAACAAAAGATGAAGCCTTAATAAAAGATGAAATTAATTATTTGAAAATGATACAACTTATTGAAACACCAAAGAATTATCTTGAAACTTTCTTAAGTAACTTATTAAATGTTGAAGAATAAAGTTATGCTTTCAGATTTTTTATTAATCTACAAATTTCATTAATTAAAATAAAAAAAAATTAGAATTTAAATGTACAAGTCAAAACTTTAATAAAATTTTTGCAAATCGAATATAACTTTTAGAAGTGCAATATCAAAATGCATTCTTTAGAAATTGTGTATGATTTATTAAATATTTAAATATATAATTAATTAAATATATATAATATTGCTGATTTTCCTATCCTTAAACTTTCAATATACAAATATTTACAATCCTTCTCATATTTTACAATAGGAACAAAATTTTGTCAAACTTCTTACCAGACATTTTGTTAAAAATATCTGTAAAGCACACATATTGGCAATGTGGTCTTCACAAAAAAGAAACAATGAATAGGCTCATATTAACTACTATATAGACTAGAAATCCACATAGCTATATCTTAATTATAATCAAAAACTCATATCTAACTTTACTAGCTTTAAACTCAACTAATCTAAAATCTTCAAAATTAAAGTTCTTTTGAATCAATTATCAACATACTTTTCTTATCACAATACCTATCTAATAATCTTTCCAAATGCTAACTGCTTTTGATGCAATCTTTCTAACTCTCACTTACACTAGTTAATTTGCTTTAATTCATTTCTTGTTATAAACATTATTAATTTATCAATTCAGCACATTTTATCTAAAACAGATCTCAACTTATCTACTAGTCAATTATATGAACTTATTTGCAAAATTCAAAACCATCCTTCATTTGACTGAATACCATTTCAAGCAAACTCTTTCTATCTCAACCTTACTCTTAAAGGTCTTATACCTAAAGCCCTAATTGAAACAATTCATAACTATGACATATCTATTAAAATAGCTTTACAAACTATTATTTAAATACTTCTTAACATTAACAACCAAATGTATAATCAAATATGGAAACTTTACTACATCTATTTTTCTAACTGAAAAAAAGATAATAACATTATATCTCTTTTAAGTCCTAATAATAACCATAACCTTCAACAAATACAGCAAACTAGATATCACAAGAGATCACATATAAACTATACATACTCATGTCTATGTGGAATAGCAGATTAATTACATTCACATTCTAATATCTGCCTACCAATCAAACAAACTGTTAGAAAAATCAATATATAGTTAACACTCTGAATCAATTATAGCACATCTTATAACCACATTTTGACATTACAAATTTAGGTAGGCCTTGACCACTATAGTTGGTTTAGGTTGCAGATAAAACTGTCTAAGCTTTAATTCTTGCATGTAATTTTTATTTTGTAGTTTACAATCTTAGTATATCTTAGTATATAGTATATTAATATATATAACTAAAATTACTAATAAAGATATGAGCAAGGCCTCACCTTAATACCAAAAAAAAAAAAATGCTGATATATATTTGATTTACTTAGTTGATTTATTACTCTAATATATATGTACATATCTAAGCCAGATTGATAAATAAATATTTGCATTTGAATATAATGATAAATACAGTATATAATAAAAAGATTATGATCAGTTTTGTCAATTTCTTGATTTATTAATAAAAATTATATTCTATTCTTATTTACTAGGAACAGAGTTTGTATAACATACAATATAGTATATGGTTTATCTGAGATGTTTATAAAATTTTTATAATTTGCAATAAATTTTTTGCATTGATATTGTATATGTATTTTAAAGTGCTAGATTTTTTGTTTAGTTATTAATTTGAATATGGCATTTAATATTTGTTGTCATGGCTTTTGGATTATGTTTATCAAGTTATTACTTGTTTTATGCAAGATTTCACATGTATTCTTAATTTTGTTATAAGCATTTTCTATTTTATGCATTAATGTTAATCTATCTTATTTTGTTTTCAGATTGGCACAAAATGAAGCTTACTATTATACTCTATTAATACTTATAATTATCATTATTGTATTTATATATAATATCCCTTAGATTGTAGTAGAACACAGACAAATTTGTCTGCGTTTTTGCACTTTTTTAGCTCTAATCTACTTTTTTAAAAAACTAAAATATTTAAATAAAATTTGGTATAATAA